GGGTTTGGGGTTTAGGGTTTAGGGTTTAGGGTTTAGGGTTCAGGGTTTGGGGTTTAGGGTTTAGGGTTTAGGGTGCCTGGTCTGTGTGTTGGAGACCGAGATGTCGGAAAGGGAACCACCAATTTTAGGGTTTATAGGGTTTACTATAGGAGCCTAAATATTTGCCAATACTATTTCGGGGATGCCTTACTATATGATTACAGTAGAATATACCCCAAAACCCTATTCTAATTCTTAAGGCCCCCACATAGGGCTCAGATCGCCTGCGTCAGGAGCAGGATCTACTGTAGCCCCAGTGCCGAAACGGCACGCTTTGCGCCTCCGTCGCCCGCCTGGCATAGAAGAGCTCGGCAAAGGCGTTCCTCAGCCCGCTCACGAGTGCGGCGTGCGAGACTGCTTGGCTTTCGGCCTTATAAGCGTGACTCTGCGAGGCTGGATAGCCACCACTCTGGCCTAGCCGGACGTGGTATGGGCAAGCAGTGGGGCCGGGCTAAAACGGGGTCATGGCGCCAGCAGCAAGAGGCGGATGGACGCTCGCGGTACTGGCAAGGATCCTGGTCGGTCTCTCCCAGGCAGCGGGGAGCTTCTCTTGTTGCGAACTACGACAAGGTGAAGGTGGAGCGGTCGAGTACATCCACACAAGCCGATGCGCGCCCATGGAGGGCCACGCCTCAAGGACCGACGGAGCAGTCCGAGCAGAGCGCAGTCATGAACGCTGTCCAGAAGGCCCTGACAACAGCGCGCAAGGCAGACGGAAGAGTCCGTCGGCTCAAGGAGGAGCAGGCCCACCGGCAACGTCAGTGGACGAAGTGGCTCCAGGAGCAGCGCGAGAACTTCAGCAAGCAGAAAAAGCAGTACGAGAACGATCTGCAGAGGATCTCGAAGGACCTCAGCCTGGCAGAGGAGGCCGGCATTGCTGCGGCAGCCAGGGTGAAGGAGGTCGTGCTTGGTGGGGCTGCCGTCGTCAATGCAGAACCGGCCCCAAAGGACTGCGAGGATACGGAATGGGACAGGCTCATGACCTTGGAGGAGGACGCGATGATCACGGAGACCGAGGGTTTCTACAAGGAAGCCGTGCAGGCTGCTCAGCAGCTTGGGGCCGACACCTCGGCGCGGGAAGCTCGACCGGTCGACGGAGCTCCTCCTGGACTTCTCGCGGCTTCTCCGGCGCCGACGATGGCATACAGTAGCCCTGGTGCCAACCTGGGTACGGCTCTTCGAGAGGCCTTTGGGGCAGCGAAGGCCGACGACATCGCTCAGGCACCTACTACCCCACCGTTTCATGCGGCTGTTCCTCCTATGACGCCCCCGAGACCTTCGCGACCGGAACCGGAGCCTACCACACCCCTATCCGAAAAGCTGTCCGCTCACCGCGCGGCACGCAGAGTGGCACTTCAGCCTTTCGGAGGCAAGCCGCTCTCACAGAACTTTTCGACGTCTGGTTTGGGTGGTACAGGTGCCATACCGGCGGAGGCTGCGGATGCCGCCTTGCTTGTGCCCTCCGAGGCGCACGCCACCGCAACTACGGAGTCAGGCTTGATCGACGACGACAGGGAGGAGTTGGACGATGGTGCCCCGTCTCCAGGCTTTGGCCGTCTGGAGTAGCATTAGGCAGATGGAAGATGCTATCATCAGGGGAGATGAGCCTGCTGGCTGGGTCTGGGCTGGCGTGCCCCTGCAATCGGAAGCTGCTGGTAGCTTCCCCTTGCTATGTGCACTTCGGTCAACCGATCCTCCGCGGTGCTCTTTCTTCCCTGGGTGATGTGCCTCTTTCGTTTCCTAGATTTTCTGTGTCCGCTGGGCCTTGTACAGTACTGTGGCGCTGTAGGTCGTGTTTCACCCTTTTTTGGCGGCTGCGCTCTTTCTGCTGTCCTGGCTCTGGCTGTCTGTTGTATGGCAACAGGCTTCCTCCTCGTCCTGTGTCTTTGGCCGACCGGGGGAGTCTGCTGTCTTTTTCCTCGCGGGGGCGTCTTCGTCACTGGGTTTGTGTCGAAGTGCGCTCTCCCTCGCCATGTTTCCCCGAATATGGTGTTCACGCCTGCCATGCTAGGGGCTTGTGCTGCTTTTCCCTTTGTGGTCGCGGTACTGTGTCCGGCCTTCTGACGGCTCGTGGCAGTGGATTTTGTTTTGTATGCCTTTCGAGGGCGAATGGTGACGCGGTGAGAGTGCGCAACACATGCATCGGTCGCTCTGGGGCATGGACCTCACCGCTCCCATTCTGGTTCCCTTGCGTTGTGCCAGCCTGGGCCTTGGTGGGGACGTGGCTGTTCGACCTTTGGGTGCCCTTTTTTCGGGGCCTTGCCGGTGTTCTGCTTGTGTCCCTATTATGCCTACTGGGTCTGCCTTTGAGGTCGGCAGGCCCACGATCTCGAAAGGTTCTGAGCGTTGAGGTGTGCGCTCACCTGGGTCGCGTGGCCGGCCCCGTTGCCCTCCTTGGCTCGACTGGTTGCGGGCCCAGGGACTGTGTTGCGTGGTGGCCGCTTAGGCCCAAGCAGACCCGGAGATTTTCAAAGCAAAAGCACAGGAGCAGCACGCGGTGTGTTTCTCGCGCGAAAGCCCTCACATGGCTGCCCTACATAGGCTTGTGCTCCTTGCCTGAGTGTGTTTGGGCTGCTCCTGATGGCCTTTCTCTCCTTGAAGGCGTCAGTGAAACTGTTGCCCCTTTCCTCCCCGAGGATTTGCCGCCAGCTAGGAGCTCTGCGACGTCTCCTAGTGACGTGCCGCCCCCCCCTGGCCAGTCACTACCCTGGTCTACTCTGGTTGCTCAGGTACAGACAGAGGCATTGCAAGCTGCGGAAGGTGGTGACGGGGTGCCTCCCTGTGTGCGCTTCCTTGTACTGTCTCCTGGATTTCGGGCTCAGCTGGTTCGGGTCTTTTCGATATCGGAGTCCCCTGAAGCAATCATGCAAATGGTGTCCCGCAATGTTGGGCACTACACTGAGGGTGCTTCACTGGTGCCTGTTTCGCCCCAGCCGCTTGATGGCCTTGTCACGTGTGTTGTGGCTCCGTGCTGGATTACGCCGTCGGTTTGGGAGATCATAGTGCTTGATTTCAGTGCTGTGGGCGGGCCGGTGTTCGCAGAGTTCGTGTTGGAGATCCAGTACGTGTCGACTCTGGAGCATTTTGGCAGGCCTTTCACCAGGGAGCCGCTTCATGTATTCACTGAAGGCAGCTGCATGCCTTTGTTGGACGAGCAGCCTTTTCGAGTTCATACCGGTCAGGTTTTTAAGTTCCTGTTGGCGAGACGGCAACCCGAATGGTTTCATGGTTTCCCGGCCTGCCTACCCTCGTGCCTACGGCGCCTTGACCCCCCTGCTCCTGCCACGACGGGGGATGCCGTCTGGCTCGCCGTGTTTGATGACCACTGTCGGTCGTTCTTGCTGCCTCCGGGTGATGTAGTCGGGTTCCGTAATGCCGCTGCTGATGTCAGGCTGCGGAGTCCTCAGGCCCTATCCTTTGGAGGTCCCCGGGCTGCTGGACCTTTTGCTGACCTTATGTTCAGGGGTCAGGTCTGTCATAGTGTCACCGCAGTTGCTCCCCGATGCGAGAGCCTTCCCCCACATCCAGATCTTGGCTCTTTTGTTTTCTTGGATGCCAGACGGGTTGGGCGTGGAGTGTCCCTTCTTCTTGGGGATGGGGGCTGCCGGGACGTCCAACACATCTTCAAATATGTCGACGTGAAGTTTCCCGCACATTGGGTGCCTTTCTTGCGGGGGTATCCTATTGGGACTGAGGTTGTTAGCACCGCTTCTGGTGATGTTCTGGTTATTGACTTGGCCCCGGCTCGGGTTCTACCGGTGGACAATAACCCTGTAGCGACATCACCGCCCGAGGCTAACGAGGCACCGCGGGTTGATGTGCCGCCCTCTAGTTCTGAGTCTGCTGCTGGGATATATGCACTTATCGCCACAGGAGACATGCCTGAAAGTTCGGCTGACGCCGCCTCTGGACCTGCGTCCGCTGTCACCCCGGACGGCGGTGGCTTGTGGTTTGTGCTCTGTGCGCCCGATTGTGTCCCTGAGAAGCTTTTTGTCAGGCTTGCTCTGCCAGCAACTTTTGTCTCTGCGGCTGCGGCTATAGCTCACGCTCGGTCTGGCTATGGCTCCGACTACTTCAGACATGTGTGTGCTGTGGATTGGCAACCCTGCGCTTCCTTCTGTACCGTGTTATGTCTTCCGCCATGGGCTGCGGACTCCACCTGTATCTTGGTGGACGCGAGAGAATGGGATGGGCGTCTTTTCGCTTTCCTCGTTGCCCCGTGGATGCAGTTTGGGTCTGTTGTGGCTCAGTTGGCGTTGCCTTCTGAGGGCTTCAGTGTCCTCCATAATGGTGTCTTCCATGGTGACGGTCGCCCCTTTGTTTTCCGGCAGGGGGATTTGCTTGTTTTGCTCCCTGCTACGCGCCCCTCCCCTCCAGCCGCCCGTCTTTCTGACCTGCTGCAGGGAGGCGTCTCTGGAGATGGTGACGAGCCACAACTGTACGACGGCGCGGGTTCTCGTTTTTGGGTGTTGACCGATGGTGGACCCAGAGGCATTGTTGTCGATTTCTCCCGGGTTGACAGCTCTGCTGATTTTGCGCATCATATGGCAGCCGAGTTGGACCTTCGCCCTTGGCAGGTTTCGATCAAATCCACGCGTCCGCGTCTCTTGAACTCTGCTTTCCGCGGGTTTTCATGCAAGGCGGTTGTTTTGGCTACAGAACCCTTCCTTGGGTCCCGGTACCTCCCGGTCGACTTACTCCTGAGCAGATTACTGTGTTCTTTGATCTCCGCCCTATCCTACGCGGGCTAGTGTGGCGACAGTTCCAGGATGCTGTTCAGGATTTAGAAGCTCTGGAGGAGGAGTTTCTTGCATCGCTCCCCGACGAAGGCGATGTCTATACACACGGTGGAGTCCAGGAAGAAAGGGATCACCGGCCAGTTGTCCTTTTGAGGGATAGGGATCTGCTGACTGTGGATTTTGCATTCCGCACTGCTGGTTTCGTCATCTCTGACGACGAAGATGGCGGTCCTGACTCACCTGGGGATTCTTCCTCCTCATCTACTGGCAGCCCTGCTGAAGTATCCAATAGTGGATCTCACGGTGGTGCGGAAGCTGGGCCTCGCAGTCGCACGCCGCGCGGCAGGCTTAGCAGATCAGGGCGGACCCTGTCCCGGGCAGGTGTTGGTGTTGCCCTCCTTGGGACTCTGCCTGGCGGGCATGCGTTTGTGTACCTGCCGGCTTCCGAAGAGTTTGTGGCTGATCCTCAACGGCAGGGGGCCGATCATCTTCTTCTTTCGGCCATCAGGACTGCTGTCTGGGCCTGCGTGTGTTACTGGTGCTGCAATGTCATCATGTTGTGCTTGTTACGCCTTACACAGGCCTGTTCGAAGGGGCGACCTCACTCTTGTCGCCTTTTGCAGGAGCCGGCGCCTACTGGGACACGCGCCGATGTTGCCTTGTTGCACCTGAGGGGCATTTCGTTACAACTTGGCGGTTTCTGGCCGTTCCAGTTGGACAACGAGGACGGGCTTGGCTTGGAGGATGACGTCGAGACTGCTTTGGATGCGGCTCCCTCTATGACATCCATTTCTGGGCTTGTTCTTGTCCCTAACTACGTTCCCGAGCATGTTCTTTGCTCCATTGCCGTACCCGGGACGGCCCATGACATGGAAGAGGCGTTACAGACAGCTAGGCGCACGCCAGCCTTTTTGCGCTTCCCTTTCGTGAGTCATGTCCAACCACAACCCCTCCTTGGTCGTGCTGTTTTTGTTGCCGATCCACGGTGGAGTACCACGGATACCACTATCTGCATTAATTCCACGGAGGTTGATGGCAGGCTCTTTGCACTATGCGTCCCTGCGTATGTGACACGAGCTCAGCTATTGTTTTTGGCTGAGTTCCGTGGTTTCCATGATTTGGATATGTACGTTGGACATGACGATGTACCCCTGCCCGATGGGGTCTATGTGCATGTGTCTAGTGGTTTGCAAGTGGCGTTCGTGCACTCTGGGGCAGGACGGACTGATTTCGGTACCCTTTCTGATCTCCTTTTGTCCCATGAGTTCTGGGGTTACGTACCGCCTCTTCCTACGCCGCTCTTTTCAAGGGCGTACTGTTTGGTTCGGCCGGAAGGGTGCTACCTGCACGTCGAAGACTTTGGTAACCCCCGTTGGTTTCGGAGAAGCATTGCTGCTGTCCTCGGCATATCGGAAGAGACGTTTGAGCTTTTCCCGGCCTCTTCTCCCATCAACGATGTGGAAATTGTAGGGGTTCCCTGCCCCCATGTTGTCGCGGTGTGGGATGTCAGTCGTGAGGGCACCCATCCACGCTCGACGTGCTGCATTCTCGACTGTCGAGCCATACAGTCGGGCTTGCGTTCCCTGCCGCTTACTTTGTGTCGGCTCGATGTTGCCTTGATACACTGTCAGCTGCAATCAACATCTCCACCAGGGTGGCAGGTCCGGATTGAGGGTTGCCGGGCTGAGGATGATTTTGTCTCCTGCTTCCCTGGGCAGGTTCTTGCGGTCGACTATGCTGCGAGCACTGACATGCCGAGTGGGCAAGGTATCCACGATGATGACGAAGGGCCTACCCCGCCGAGTGGAGGTACTGGCGAGGCTCCGATGGACCCTGACGATGGCAGTGGGCATGGCCCTTCTGATGGCAGCGCGTCGCCGGGCGACGACCTGGGGACTGATGGGGAGCTTGACAGTGCTGGTGCGGCTATAGCGTTCCTTGTCCTTGCTGCCGATTGTGCCCCCGAAACCGGGGCTGTCGATGTGTCTTTCCCCTGCTCCTTGCCCTCTGTGAATGCTGCCATCACTGCCGCTCGTGAGGTTGAGCTATGGAATCGCTTTCCCTGTCTCGTGCCTGTCACTCCCCAGCCGGACTTTGACTGGGCCTATTTCATTGCCCGGCCCATGTGGCAGTCCAGTGGGGTCTTCGTTGTTGTGGATGCTCGGAGTGTGGATGGCCGAATTTTTGCTGTCGACTTGCCTCCCGTTGTCTCGCGCGGGGCTGTTTTGATAGTCGCGGGTCTTTCCGAACGGCCCTTTCTTGAAATGTACGTGCGGGATGTCCCTTGGCCGCTCCCTGATGACTACGACGTGCATCTCACTGACGGCGATCTCATCCTGCTTTGCCCTCCGCAGAGTGGGGTCTCCGTTCTGACTACCCTTGAGGACCGCCTGCAAAGCGCTGAAGGATGGCAGCCTGTCGGTGCTGTCGTTGGGACACCTGAGCCCGGCGTTGGCGATGTTTGGGCCTTCGGCGACTTCGGTTCCAGTTGGGTTCATGGTGACCCTGTCCCGCGTGAGAACCTTGCTGCGTTGTGTGATGCTGATCCTAGTACCTTACGCGTGGTGACTTCCCGGCCAGTCGTGCCTGATTATGCCCGCCGCGGATTGCACTCTAGCTCTGTGCTTGTCAGCATTTCCCTAGCCTGGCGTGACGATGGTTATTCCCCTCACGATCCAGTTTACTTTCTTGATCAGAGGGCATTGTTACTGGGCGTGACTTGGGGTATTGCCGCCCGCGGATATGTTGACATCGCCATGCATTGGCGGAGACTTAACCTCCGGTGTCCGGTCGGTTATGTCTTGTGCATTAGGGGAGGTCGCCCTCAGCAGGCCCCTTGGGATGCTTTTCGAGCCGTCCGGGATGGGGAGGTTCTCACCGTCGATCTCTTTCCAGGAGATGCTCCTCCTCCACCACGTGTCGGCATTGATGATGGCGACTATGATGGGGATGACCCCGATAGTGGTTATAGTCGTAGGGGGGATCACCGGTGGAGGGGTTACGATTCTACGGTTGGTTCTGCTGCTGCGTCGATGCCGTCCTTGCCGGGTTCTTCGAATTCTCATGAGCGTGAATCTGAGGCCCGCGGGGAAGGTGTTGTCCCTTCCGACTCCCGTTGTCGCGCCAATGAGGGCTGGCGTGCCCCCCTTTCTGTGCCAAAGATAACAGGTCGAGTAGCCAAGTGGGATGGTAGTATTACATGTGACGACCTTCCTGATGGTCACTGCCCCCTCACCTCTGTCCTCCCTGTTATCCGCGGTTTTAAAGAGCAGGGCCACGGTCTGATGACCTTTGCCGCCTTTTGTTCTGTCGCCTTTGATGCATGTGCTGGTCAGGGACTCCTTGCTATTAGCGTATGGCTTGGCCCACGGGTTGGTGCTGTGTGGATCGGCACCAACCTTGCCGGCATGACCTTGCTCATCCTTGTCGCTTGTTTATGTCGTATGCAAGGGCGACCTCGATTCATGTCTGTGCTTCTTGTGTATGTATGCACGTGCACCAGAGTCCAGGCCGCTGTCTTGCAAGACGTTGGTGACTCGTGTCGTTTACCCGTTTCTGTTGATGGACTGTCACGCGGGTCGACTACATTCGCGACGCCACTCTTCGGCGTGGCACATCGCACGGTGCGGCCTATCGCTACCCCTGCGAGATCTGTCGCTGCCCTGCCTTTCCAGGCTGTGGGTTTGCCTGATGAGGTATGTACCAACAATGACGAGGCATTCGTCACTCTTTTGGAAGAGAGTGTTTCAGCTGCGGGAGGCGAACCTTTCTTCTTGGCCGCTACGTTGTTGGAGACCCTTTTCGATCACTTTCAGGGGGGTGTCGCCAATGCCGCTGTTCCTCTGTGGCCGGGTGAGCGCCTTGTAGTGACTGCCCCTGTGCCACTGAGGCTGTGGCCTTGACCCCTTTTCAGTCCCAGGCCGATAGCTTGTATGACGTTCTTCCTCCCTGTCTCCCTCTACGGAGTTATGATGCTGTCTTTGACTGGCTCGATGATGATCTGCGGGGCCTGCTTCGGGACTCTGCGGTGCCTGCAGGCAAACGTACGCTCTTTGAGGCCATCCACAAGTGGTCCGATGTGCGTCCTGGCATTTACCCTACTAGGGTAGTGGTTTATACCGATGGGTCCGCCAGGTCTTGGGAGAACACGAGGGATATCATGCCTGGTGCCTGGGCTGTATCTGTTTGGTTGCAGTGCGGGCCTGGTGAGCTTGAATTGCTTTTGGGCTGTGCTACTGACGTCCTTGTCCAGGAGGACGATGAACACTTTGTCGGCGCCCTTGACGACACCGCCCTTGTTTGCAAGCAACTTGCTGTCGCGTGGGGTCTTGGGTGGTGGAGCCCGGATCTGCATGGGGCCTACCGGTAACACTCCGCTACGATTGCCAGTCAGCTGGGCGCGGGGCTTTTGGTGCCGCAAGTGCGCCTAAAGACGCCGGTTCCAGTGCCGCTTCGGGTCTTTCTATGTTTCTGTGTCACCTGAGACAGATTGCTGCCTCACGTGTTGATCTTTCTCATGATCACGTCAAGGCACACTCCGGGCACCCTGCCAATGAGTTGTGTGACGAATTGGCTAAGCGCTCTCGACGCTGTGAGTCCGCCCGCAGCGGGGATCTTCTCCCGCCGTGGCCACACCTTTTGTATTTGCACCCGCTCCGGGCTTGGGCGTGGCTTCCTCGGACGGGTACCCGTGACCTTCCGACCCTGTTCGCGTTCGAAGCTGAGGCGTCTCGCATGCAAGGGCTTGATCTTGTTGGTGACTTTCCTCCTCAACTGGGCCGGCAGGCCTCGCAAGTCCGCGGTGGCAATGTCGATCTTTGCGTCTGCTTTGTCACAGCCAATGTTTTGACACTCCTGGACCCCGGTCAGGGTGTGCGAGGGGCTGATGACAGGCGACCTGGTCTTAGGGTCGTCGCCAAGCGGGAGGTCCTTAAACGCCAGTTCGTTGCTGCGGGTGCTTTGCTCATCGGTTTACAGGAAACTAGGTTGCGTGATGCTGCTACACTGCCAGACGGGCAGTTTGTTATGCTGCATGCGCCTGCTGATGATAACGGCCACCATGGAATGGCCCTGTGGGTGAGCAAGGATGTTCCGTACGCTTATCACCACGGAAGACCCCTTTGCTTTCAGCTGTGCCACATGACGGTCGTCCTGAGTGATTCACGTTTGCTGATTGTGCAGATCTGTGCCCCACATTTGTCTTGGACTGTGGTTGTCGCCCACGCCCCTTCTGAAATCACGCACCCTACCGGTGAGTCCACTACCTTTTGGCGCAAATGCCGACAGGTTTTAAGGCGTCAGCCGGCGCGTTCTGAGGTGATCCTTCTTGCTGATGCCAACACTAGAGTTGGCGGGCTCCAGTCGGAATCCATAGGGGATTGCGATCTTGACGAGGAGTCATGGAGCGGTCAGGCACTGCACCAGTTTGCTGTAGACGAACAGCTGTGGCTACCCTCGACTTTTTCGTCCTGCCACAACGGGCCGAGTCCGACTTGGGTTTCGCCCAGTGGCCAGGCGTTCCGTATCGATTACATCGGGGTGCCGCTTGCATGGAAGGGGTCAGATGTTCGCACATGGGTTTGGATGGATTTCGAATCCCTGCAGGTTCGGGATGACCATTACCCGCTTGTGCTTCAGGCCAGTTTCCGCTGCGAAGCTAGTGTGGCGGGGGTCGGCTACAAGCGCGTTGCTGTGCGTCCCCCCCGTGATGCCCCCAGTGATGCGGTTACTGCCTTTTCTCGCACCATGTCTGATGTGGTGTGTCAGCCTCAAGTTTCATGGGATACCGGGGTCGACTCTCACTATGGTCACCTAGTTGGTGTTTGGAGCCGCGAAGGGAAACGCCTCTGTGAGCGTCCTGGCTCTGTTGCCAGACAGACATATCTCTCCGGCGTGACACTCCGAGTCGTGGAATGGAGGAAAGCATGGCGCCGCAGGCTTCGTGCCCTTAAGGGTCTGCAGTCGCTCCGTCGCCTTGCTGCTTGCTTCCTCGCATGGCTGTGCTGCAGCGGGGTCTTTGTGCCCGGTCCAGTCAATGGTGATGCGCTTTGGATTTGGGCCTGCCACTTTGACCTTGATATTGCCCAGGCAGCTATGCTGGTTTATCGGCTTGGTCGGGTGGTCAAAGGAGCTGCCAAGGCTGATAGAGTTGCGTACCTCGGTCACCTGGTCGAGGCGGTCTCTCTGGCTGACCTCAAGGACCCCAAATCCCTTTTCCAGCAAAGCCTTTCCACAGGCGAGGCCTTCTCGTCGCCCGCTGATCAGTCCACTCCCTGCGGTCCTACTGGACGATGGGACTATGGCTTCCAGCACTGCCGATCGTTTTGAGCAGTGGCGGTCGCACTTTGCGGCGCAGGAGGCTGGGGAGCTTATTCAGGCACAAGACTACGTTCCTGCCTTGCGTTCTCAGAAGCAGACGTGCACACCCCGGCATCCTGTGTTTAGCATCGAATGTGTGCCCACGCTGGCTGCAGTGGAACAGACACTCTGTGGTCTTCCATTCGGTAAGGCAGCTGGCTACGACGGCGTCACGGCCGAGCTTCTGCGCGTGAATGTTCCCACGTCGGCGCGCTTGCTTGCGCCCTTGTATGTTAAGTCTGCCCTCGGCCTCTACGAGCCTGTTGAATTCCGGGGCGGGGCGCTTGTTCCGTTGGCCAAACGAGCTGCTGCATCACTGTCGTGCGATAAATTTCGCAGTATTTTGGTTTCTAGTATACCCGGAAAGGTTTACCATAGGCAACTGAGGACCATGCTCATCCCTTCTCTTCAGGGTGTTAGGGGTGACACGCAGGCTGGCGCTATCCCTGGTGTCTCGACTGAGGCAATTGCCTTGGTTGCACGGACGTTCAGGGACATCATGTCCGGACGACGCCATGCTTGGGCACTTACGTTCTTTGATGTACGGGCTGCTTACTACCGGGTTATACGACAAATCCTCCTCGAGGTAGGGGATACCGAAACTGCTTTGCGTCGCCTCCTTCATGACATTGGCGTGCCTGGTGTTGCTCTCTCGGAGTTGCTCTCGCACCTCGCGTCAATTGGTGCTGTCTCCACGACCGGGGCTCCTGACCATCTGCAACGTATCTTGTCTGATGCTTTGCAGGGTACATGGTTTCGGCTCGACTTGGGGTCGGCTCTTACCCTAACACATCGTGGGGTGCGTCCCGGTGATAGTCTTGCCGATATATTGTTTGGGTTTACTTTCAGTGCCTACTTGGCTGCTGCCGACAAGGCCATCGCTGACAGCGGCCTCTCTACTCCGATGCCAGAGTGTGACGGCCCCTGCTTGTGGCCAGATCGCGACCCAGCTGCGTCTGTTGGTTGTGGGTCGTGGGCTGATGACTTTGTCCATATGACCTCGCAGGAATGCCGTTTGACACTCACCAGCCGGGTTGTGCGAACTGTCGAGACATTTGTTGCGCAGGCTGAGTCTGTGGGCATCCAGTTGACCTTCGCCCCCGACAAAACGGCAACTATGCTGTCACATGCGGAGGACCAACAGCCGTGCGTTATGTCTGACGCTGAGGGTCGCTTTCTGCGTGTTCACAGCAGTGTTACCGGTACTGTTCATCGGCTCCCTGTGGTCGACGCGTATAAGCACTTAGGTGGGATTGTCACGACGTCTGGTACCCCTTCTCCCGAGATTGGTTATCGGCACTCCCTTGCCATGCTTGTGATACGACCTCTTCGGACCCGCCTGTTTTCATTTTACAGCATCCCGCTGACCGTGCGCCGCCACTTACTGCGCTCCCTGGCTATCTCGCGGTACATTTTCGGCAGCGCGGCCTTGTCCCTGCACACTGCCATGCACCGCAGATTGTGGGCCAAGCACTATGTGGCTTTGTGGCGTCATCTGTGGCGCCGCAACAAGGGAGAACACTATCGGCACTGTTATTCAGTTCTCGGGCTTTCCGGTGCTCCTACGCCACCTTCGGCGCTCGCCCTCTCGCGTGCTGTGTTGTTGCGACAGGTTTCTATTGCCGGGCCTGTCACCTTACTCCAGCTTCTTCATGTGCAGTGGCAGGAGACTCCTAAGGTCGCCTGGCTTGGGGAAATTCGCCGAGACATCCAGCACGTAGCCCAGTACGCGCAAGCGGCTAGGACACTGCTCGGCACTCGTGATGCTGTCCGATCGTTGGTCGAGGCGCTGCAGGATGACCCGGACTGGTGGGTTCGACAGGTCAAGAACGCTTGCAAGACCTCTGTTACCGATATGGTGAGCTGTGCGCCGCCGCCATCGTCTGCCATGGATGGATGCCGCGGAGCAAGACCGCCCGATGCTGCAGCTACCAGGGCGCAAGTTCACGGTGTCCCTAGGAAGGCGCATGCATGCCCCTGGTGCGAAGCTTCCTTTGATATGAGGAAGCACCTAGGAGCGCACATGGCTCGTTCGCATGGAGTCTACTCGCCAGTGCGGCATATCGTGTATACGGACACGTGCGTGCATTGCTTGAGGTGCTTTCGCACGATTGCTCGGCACCAGTCGCATCTCAAACACAATGATGAATGTCTTTTACAGACTTGTCTACGCGTGCCGCATATGCCAATTACTGAGGTCAGGGAGGTCGAAGGCACCGAGGCCAGGCAGGCCAAGAGCCTGCGCAGGGGCGCATGGGACGCTTTTACAGCGGCCCTACCCACTCTTCAGAGCCATGGCCACAAGACCCTCACCACGGCCGAGCGCATCGACCTTCTTGGGGAGGACCTCGATTTGGGTCTCCTCTCCCGCCTCTTCCGTCCCGACCCCACCTTCTTGGCATGGGTTTCATCCTTCATCCAGAGCAGATCCAAGGATGGCCCTAGAGGCTATGCAGCCGCGTTCTGGGACAATAGGCCCCAGCAACCGTCTCACCTGAATTCACTATGCAAAGGACGCGCCGCTTGACGGCTCTGAAGTCTGCAGAAGAAGAAGGCCCCCACATCAACCAGCCTGAACCCTAGACCATTTCCTGCAAAAGCCCTAGACCCCAAACAACTCCCGAAGTGCGAACTCTTCCTATCTCAAGCCCTTGAGTTCTAGTCGAAGGCAAGAAAGCCCTGAAGGTTTAGGGTGCAGGGTTAAGTAGATCCCCTAACTCAAGGGACTAAAGGAGGGACCCTTAAAGGGACCCTTGGGGTTGTTTTGGGGCCTTATGAGACTAGACAAGGGGTAGATAAGGGTTATGCAGGGTATTAGGATTAGGGGTCCCTTATAGGGGTCCCTTATATTGTCACTTACCTAACACCGAGTCTGGCGTTATTTACGAAGCACGAGCCTAAACCCTAATAGTCAGTAGATTCCAAGTAGATTACAGATCAGGTGAGACAATTCAAAAAATCCAGAGGGTTCCTTATCATAAGTATACCATAAAGGAGCCCGAAGCCTGATTCTAATTATTAAGGCCCCTCCTACATTACTACCCTAAACCCTAAACCCTAAAACCCTAAACACCTGAACCCTAAACCCCTAAACCCCTAAACCCTCAACCCTAAACCGTTTTGGCAAATATTGAAAACGGGCTACACGGTTGAAGGTCGTTGGCTAGTTAGTTCCCTAAGTTACAATTCGGATAATGTAGGGGCCTACACAGTTACCCATACTATGTTGGGGGTTCCTTATTATCATCATAGTATAGTGGGCCCCAAAAGCCTATACTAATTCTCAAGGCCCGTATGTTACAGCTGCGTGCAGCACTACTTGAGGTAATATAGGGGCCTGCATAATACCGGATAGTATTCCGAAGGGTTCTTTAGCATGCTTATGCTGGAATGTAACCCTAAACCCGACACCCTGCCTTAAACTGCCATCACCTGCTGTTTGTGGTCGTCTTACTCTAAAGCTAAATCTAGACTGTAGGAACCTACGGGAAAGTTGTTTTGGTAGTTCAAGATAAACCCTAAACCCCTAAACC